GATTTTTCTTTCCCTCCAGCCCGGGGATGAGGCCTGGCTCTTGGAGGGGTTCTGAAGTTGGGAGGCTTCTCCTCGGTGAAGGCGTCCACCCTGAGGGGAGGGCTTAACCGGTTTCGGAGCGGGGTGCCGAGGTGGAAGTTGTGGTTGGTTCAGAGGCAGTTGGGGGAACTGCTATTGATAGTGATACTGAGAGATGTGGTGCAGTACTTGGTGCTGCTGGAGCTGATGCTGCTGGAACTGTTGCATTTGGGCTTGCATTGCCCGCATGCACTACATCAAGTCATCAAACTGGTTTTGGCTAGTCGCCAGGGAGACAGCAGTTGGTTCGGTCAAGGTTGTCTCGACAGGGAGAGGAAGGGGGACGTTCATGGCGGGAAGATTCACGGGCACCACTGTTCGTGGCGCATTCAGGCTGGGGATCCCATCCACCGAAAGGGGGATGGTGAACTGTCTGATGCACACCACGGGGACTTGAAGTTGTTCCCCGGTGGCGTTCATCTCCGTGCTACGTCCGGCATTGCTGGAAGAAGCCATGGGTGTTGAGGTTTCTTGGAAAAAAGGTGTTATGAAAGTTTTTAGAGGGAGGCTTTTAGAAGCGCTTCCCACAGACGGCGCCAATTGATGGAGCGCAATCCGGTCGGTCCTAGTTGTCAACGATCTTGCCTCTGACTGGAGCAAAAGGTGCCTGAAACGGGGAAGAAAGCAAGTAGTCTCCGAGGAGGAACCCGGTGAGGGTGCTTCGAAGCTCAAGTTAGTATCTTCTCAAAGGCAAGATAAAAAACCAGATGGCGCAAAGTTATCACATACCTCCTTCTTGGGGGGGGAAGAGAGCCTTTTATAACCACTTCGCGCACTCACTCCCAAGCTCCTGTCAGGTCGGGTATCATTACCTCTGCACTTCTGCCAGTTCGGGTGTCATCACCTCTGCTGGGGCAGGCAACCGCCACTGCTCTCTTTGTCGGAGCCGTCTCTGTGATTGGAGGTGGCGGTGGCAAGTGGCCGTTGAAGTGCGGTTGTCAAGCGTCAAATCCTAAGTCAGTCAAGTGCRCCGCCTCAGGATACGGACTCCTTTGGTGTCAGATACGGTTATTCAGTTCGGCGGCCTGAAGACGAAGTGCTGGAGCGGTGTGCGAGGTGAAGTCTTGAGTTCGGATAGAGGTGTGGCCCGAATTGCCCTAGGGTGGGACAGTTCGGGTTGTTGCCCTTTGCACTCCTCATAAGGCTCGGGGTCAAAGGGAGAGTTTGGACTCCTTTTGGGGAGCTCGGAGCTCGCGCCTTGAGCGTACTGCCGTTCCGGGCTGTTGCTTCTGCCACGTGTTGGGTGGTCAAGAGGTCGGGCCAAATCTTCCTTCATCAGCACATATTGTGCTTGCATTCAGGGTGATGAATCTCAAGTCGGTTGTGTGGAGACACTAAAGCAAATATATGGGTGCTTGTCAGAGAACAAGTTCATTGAACACCCATTAATAGAACAGTTACATAGAATCTTGTGTCAATAACTACTTCATCATCACAATTGTGTAGATGATCCTTAGACCTGAGGCATCATGGATGTCTTGTGTTGAGCCTCTATAGTTTAATTGTGCAATCAATTATGCCCTAATCAAGGGATTTAAGCATGCGCAAATAGGCTATGGTAACTTGCACATGGAGATAATGAGAATGCACAAAATGGAATCTATCACTTCCATGAGGAGACAAAATGCTCTATGCAACTGAGATTGATATGACTCAAGAAATCCTTGGCCAAGACAGTATGGTTTATGGAAAGAGTTCCAAGTGTCATCATACAAGTCATCATCAATTCAGTAGACATGATTGACAGATTCACCATGACCCTCTGCTCTTTTGGAACATTGTGTGATAGAAGGATCCAACTACATGGTAATTGTAGATGGAAATGTTCAATCCATCAATTCAAACTATTAGGGTGGTCATGATATACTGCTAGGTGCCACTCATGATTAGTAGAATCCCTGTGAATAATGGTAGATTATTCACATTCTAGGGAGAATTAAAAGAGTTTTGATTCAATTCAAAAGGAAGGAGTTCCATCTAGAATGCTGAATTAGTTTGGCATTAATTACCACTACCTAATAATGTTGAACATAAGAGGGCACACACAAAAAAACAATCTAAGTATGAAGGGTGTAATCACTAAAAGGGGTTTTAGTGGAGACTGGAGAGACCTAATTACAATTATCTAAAAGTTAAGGTTAAGCTTTACTAATTGTAATTAGGGCGAAGCTCTGCGTAAGTATAGACCATGGAGCAGTCCTAGGGTTTAAGCAAGCAAAAACAAGAATGACTCAATACCCTAATACGAAGAGATTTCTAGCACAACCCAAAGGAGCCACCCCCTCCCCCTTCTTCTTCTTCTTCTTCTTCTTCTTCTTCTTCTTCTTCTTCCTTATTCTCCTTGTTCAAACTTCAAGAGAGGTGGTGATAAGGAACTTTGATCAGCTTCTTGTTCGTGTGGACTATTTTGGAGGCTGGACACGTGCAAGGCTACAGGAAAGAACCAAATCAAGATTCTTGACAGCATTCTTGAAATCAATCCAAAGAGGTATGTTAGTTATTTTATTATTAATTTAGGTTTTGTACACCATTAATGTGATCTTAGTAATATCAAGATTCTAAAAAAATTTTAAATTCTGTTGCAATTAATTAAAGAAACCACTAGAATTTTTCACAATGAGGATGCCAACATACAATGAAGTTGGTGTGGCACCACTAACCTTGGTCTGGAGACATGTACCAGAGGGTTTCGGCAATCATATGCACCCCAGACCCTTTTTGATGAATAGATACAAGCCCTATTTTCTCAAGGCTCAATGTTGTTCTTCAGGTAATTGGACACAAAGAAGAGGCCAGAGGGTTGCCTAGAAAAGATGGCAGGCGTCAATGCTCTATGACATGCCTCTTAGCAAGAATCAACCCTCAGTATTGCTCCAGGTCCCTATTATATTTCCTAATGGAAATGTAACTCTGTATACAGAAATGATATACACCAAAACTTGGTTACTTTTCCCATGCATGAACTGTCTCTATTGTTCCTTTAAGACCCCTATCATGAACCACTCCAGTTGACCAATGATGAAATGACAAGTTTGATTCCAATTCCTTTTCCCCATGCCACTACTTCTCTGTTTGAATTGTAAATCTCTTGTAACCTTCAAGGTAAGTGCGCCAAATAATAGCATTTGGTTGAATAGGCATGCTGCTGATCAATTTTCCTGCTTCGTCTAGATGCCCATATCTAGTGAGCAAGTCCACAGCACAAACATAGTGATCCATCTCAGGTTCAATCCCATGACTCTCTTTCATTTGTTTAAACAACTCCATCCCTTCTTCCACTAATCCTCCATGTCTACAAGCTGAAAGAGCTGACATGAAAGTAACCCCATCTGGCTTGAACCCCAGGGATTCCATTTCTCTGAACCTCTCAAGAGCCTCATGTGCATAACCATGAAGCCCTAGAGCTGAAATTAAAGCTGTCCACGAGAATATATTTTTATCTGTCATCTCATTGAAAATTTTCACAGAGCTCTGAAGACTTCCACATTTAGCATACATGTCAACTAATAGATTGCACACAAATACATCACAACACCTGAAATCAGTCTTTATGATAAGTCCATGGATAGAACTCCCCAGGGCCAGATTACAAAGTCCAGAGCAGATGCTTATGAGACTGACAAAGGTATAATTGTCAGGCATGATTTGACACATCTGCATTTTTCTGAACAAGTTCAATACCTCCTTGTAATCACCATTGCGAGCACAAGCAGCAATCAAAATATTCCAAGATACAATATCTAGTTCATCAATTTGAGAAAGCCATTTTTGTGTTTCTATATATTGGCCACATCTATTGTAAATGCCAGCAATGATATTAGAAGGAACAACAGGCAATGGCATAATTGATGTTGTGGCAAAAGTCAAGGCATCAGAAATTTGACCATTGGCAGCATAGGATGCAATAAGTGAGCTCAATGCATACTGGTTCTGAAGGTAACCCAATCTTATTATCAAACAGTGAAGTTGCCGCAGCTCTAGAATTGTGGTTACCTTGAGGACTACTGAAAATGAAAATTCGTTAGGCTGGTAACCCAAATAAAGCATTGTTTGCAGTATATTAACTGCAACAGGAGAGTTATTATGTGCATAACCTGAGATCAAAGCATTCCAAGACACCATATTTTTCTCATAGATCTCATCAAAGCAAATATGGGCCTCTTCCAAGGCATTGTATTTCATGTAGAAATCAACCAATGCAGTGCCCACAAAAACATCACATTTGAAATTGTTCTTGATGGTCTTTGCATGGATGAACTTACCATATATTGGGATCTGAAAATTGCTGCAAGAACAAATAGCATTTACAAATGTAGTCTGGCTTGGCAAGAACCCTTGCAAAATCATTGTCAAAAAGAGTTCTAAAGCTTTCTCTGGCCTTTTATCCCCAATAAATGCCCCAATAATTACATTCCATGAAACCACATCCCGAAATAATACATCCTCAAACACTTTTGCAGCAAGGCATGTGCCATAACATTTCACATACATACTTAGGAGGGAATTAGCTACAGAAGGGTAAAAGATCGAACCAAATTTAATTACTAAACCATGTATTTGTTCTCCAGATTTAAAGTCTGTTACCCTTCCAACACCAGACAAAACACCAACGAATGAATATTCTGATGGAAGAATATTTTTGCTCAGGAGTTCACGGAACAAAATCATAGAATCTTCTGCAGACCCCCATTGGCTGAATGCAGATATTAAGGAATTCCAAGTTACTATGTTCCGCCTAGGCATTTCCTCAAACAACTTAGATGCTTCTTCCAAGCTTCCATGCCTCCCAAACAGACCCAACAATGCAGTTCCCGAGAAAGCATCAGCACAAATCAATCCAGTCTTTAGAATCAATGACTGCAATTGAAACCCTTGTTGAAGATCCAATGAAGGCAAAGACAAGAGACTGCCAAATGTATATTGAGTTGGGCTAAATTCAGATGCCATCATTTGAGAGAAGAGCTCCCAAGCTTCCTCTCCGAGGCCATTCCTGGTATGAGCAGTAATGATTGTATTGTACGACACAGCATTGCGTTCAGGCATTCTCTCAAATAGATTCCGTGCAATTGGTAATTCACCAAGTGACGCATACAACGACACAAGGTTGTTGTTAACAAATACGGGTTGGTCTGTACCCATGGTGATGGTGAGTGCATGGAGACATTTTGTCGCATCAAGGGATCTTGATCTTGAGCATACCTGAAAAAGTGGGAGCTGACGCTGTTGGAATTCTGCATGAGACGAAGTAGAAAGGGCTGTGACATGAGAGTAAGTCCGTAAGGAGGAGAAGGAGGAGGAGAATTTTGTGGATACAGGGAGTTTGTTATGGAACCCTGGCAAGTACAAAATCTTCTTCATCAACTACGATGACAACTCTGAGGGGAACCCCAGACCACTAGACGACCAAGATTAGTGGCAACAATACATGGAAATGGACAACACACAGGTGGATTCAAGTCAACAATTTTTCTCCATGAATTATCGGCAATGATAAAAAGGTGCAATTTTTCTTCTCCGTGAAATGTGAATACTCAAAAAGTAGAAATGGTCATAATTCCGAACACCATTACACCAGAATCATAAGTAAAGATACAAAAGCCGTTACCACAAAGAAAAATAAATCAAAACAGCCGCTGAAGAGAAAATTGTTCAAGTGATTCTTACCACCGAAGTGAGCGGTGTGGAATCGGCAGGCTCGAGGGTGATTGAGCAACGGATCGAACTGGGTTTTGCAATTCTTGCAAGTCCGTAGAGCGTGGTTGGTGTTTCCAGAACATCTAATGGAAGCTTTTCTGGCTTGATATTTCAGCGATTGAGCCCATGTCGTTGTTCTTCGGAAATTATGAATTTTAAGAACAGTTGGTGCGTTTTGTTTGGAGGAAAGAAGAAGAGTCGATGAACTCCAGAGGGCTTTGCTCGCCATTCCCGCTAAAAATATAAGGAAAAAAATTAGGGCTTCTTTGCAACGTTCATTCCACCGAAACCGAATACTATCCACTGGAGTCAGTCGAGAGACAACACAGTTAGATAACGGCTCCTATCCAGTACCCACTTATCCCAACATGTGCTGTGGGGCGGTGCCTAGAGAAAGAGCACCAACCGTCTGATTGGTGGGGACATTTAACCTGATCTGTGCCGTTTCTTATTGATCTAGGCCACAGGATTAGTGTGATAGTGTCCCCACCTGGTGATTCCAATAATCTAGTGCATGACCAGATGATCAGACGGTTAGAATTATCTATATGGTAATGTGGAAGTGAAACGTGAGATACACCTGCGGGGTTTTACAGGAAGAAGAAGCCTTCGATCTATCAAACTTGTTGGCGCATTGAGCCCTTCTCTGCAACTACAGAACTACTGTCACTCTCGGTTTTGAAACCTATTTCTAGGGTTTATTGGGTGTCTGTTATCACCATGAATCGATAGCTCTTGATCTTTTGCCCAAGAACATGGCGAACATTAACAACAAACACGAACCGAGCACTGCTCCTCAGCCAGACCGATGGTATAACCTAACCCTAGGTTCCTCTTTCAAAGATCATTCGTCCACCAAGTTCTGCACTCTACGATGTAAGTAATACGTGCGAACCATAAAAACGGAATCTTTGAGCATTAACCATGGTTTGTTCTGAATGTCGTTACAGTCCAAAGAGTAACTCCTTTGTTTGTGCCTCTTTTGAATAACTCTAGATGAATTTAAGCCGGCGTCGATCGATAAAAGCCACCCTGGATCTCTCCACAAGAACAAGGAAAATAGGATCACTGTAGAATTTCATAACAATCAACCTGGAAAACCCAAAGTGACCTTCGAGGGCAGCAGCGAAGATTACAAGGAGAATGATGGAGCGTTGTTCTTCGATGGCGAGACCTTCCGGTTAGAGCGGCTGCATCGAGCGGTGAAGCGGTTGAGGCTCCGGCAACCTGGAGAGTCTGCAGCAGTGGCTGCTGCGTCGGTAGTCACTTCGGTTGGACCAGCTGCAGAGTCTCGTTCTCCCCCTCACGGAAAGCCAGCAAAATCGCAGCCTCTCAGTAAAAGTATAGCTCCTCCAATGCAGGTGAGTATTTGGGATTTTAGGGTTGTAAATCCAATTATTTAATGTTAAAAGGGTAATTTGAAAACCAAAAACATCAACACCGATACCAAGCAGAGTGATCAGTCTAAGGGCTTCTGTCACATTTAATTTGATTTTGCATTTCTTGAGTAATGGTACTGCTCTTGAGTATTCTTAAATTGCTACTCTTTATTTTGTTAGACTGTGGCAAATGGATTTAGAAAGAATCTTATAAAGAATAAATAAGTGCATCTTCATCTCAGGCATTCCGCCATTCCCAAGTCTCCTTTAGTAGCAGATTTGCCATCATTTGAGTGGCTATTCACTTTATTGCTATACCAATATTACTGTTTTTCTAGAATACACAATTGTTGATGGCATACCTTCATTCAGTTCTTTCTAGTCACTTGCATCTGGTGCCTCTAGGATCCATACTCTTTACCAATCCATACTAGCTATCCATTCATGTTAGTTTGTACAAAATTAATCTGTGCATTTTTTTTTTGTGGAGAAGTTCATTCCTGGGCTTAATATCTTGTTGCAATGCATTTCTACCTGTTGGTTGAAGGTGCTTTGGCTCTAAATTATGCACTCTAGCGTGGTGCTTATTTTCCACTTAAGAAGTTGAATGCTCTACCTATCAATCAAAGAAATCTAATGATTTTCATAGCATTGAGCTGGAATTTTCAGTGGACTGTGGTTCACTTTTTTCCTTTGTGTTTGCTGTAGAACTATCAACATGTATGTCTTCCTAACAAATACCTAGGAGTGCAACTTGGGCGGACTCAGGTTGGGATTTTGTTAAACTTTGAATGAGCTTAGCATGAAAACACGAGCCTGATGCAGTGTAAAATCTTCCAATCGCAAACCTGACTTGCACCTCTACAAATACCTCCAGTAGATTTAGAACAATGTAAATGTAGAGCAGAAATACTAAGGACCATTACCCAATATAAAATTAACTAGCCCCTTAGTTTGCTTAAGCTAATCCAGTGATATGCTTTTCTTGTTTTGAAACACGGTGACCTGTAGCATGGCATGTAATAATCTATTATGCCCAGATACCAGTACAAGGGTGCTATTTTGTCTCTGACACTTCAGTTGTAGTGTAAAATTTGTATATGTTACTGTATCCAGCTGTGCCTTTGCCGTATTTGGGTAACATAGGATTCCGTCACTCTCCCAATGGGTCTCCTTCCATTCTACGTTTGCAACCTGTGCTGCATAGCTTATTGCTAACTTAAACATTGGTATACAATTAAAAACTCATCCTTTTTTGAATTTTAAATCCTCCTAGAGAGCTCAATTCTTTGTTTTGCTTCATTCCATGATTTTATGATGAGGATTGAAAAAAAGGCACATCTTTTTTTTTTTTTTTATTCCATAATTTTATGTTTTGGTAGAAAACATCTACTGAATTATATACTGATTATTGGAGCTTCTTTTGTTTTCATATGGGTTGAAACAGATTGAGGTGGAACGAATTGACATTGGAAATTCTGATAGCCCAGGTTTGTCTTCCTTTCTTATATGAATTCAGTAATGGCATTTCTGATTTGATAACCTTATAGTTTGCTATTTGTTCATTTTCCTTTAGTTTTATGATGACATGGCCTTTGACATTGACATTTCTGACCTGGCAATATCCTTGTTTATTTTGAAATATCATACTATGTAGTTTGTAAAGTTACCTTCATCCTTATCTTTAGATGTTCTCTTCTTTAAAGGTTTACACTTAGCATCGGAGAGTTGAAAAAAAAAGATTAGATCAATGTTTTAAAAGGCGTGGGAGGCATACAGCATGCCTCCAGCAAGGTGCCCTCAAAACACTCTGTGGCACATGCTGGAGGCATTGATGCCTCTGATGTGTATGCTTCAGACACCTTTTGCATGAGGCTGTATTGCCTCTGGTACACCTCATGCATGCCTCATACTGTCATACAGTATGAAAGAAAGAAAGAAAAGAAAAGAAAGGAAATAAAGAAAAGAAACAAAGGGAAAGTCTGAGCCAGGGGCTACGCCTCCATGTTTTAAAACATTGGATTAAATGGAATAGGCTATTGATAATGCTAGCAAACATTAGTATAAGAATTAACTAACTGATTTGCCTAAGTGCTAGGCCTTTCCCTCTTTGTTTACCTTTCTTGACTTTTTTTTTTTATCATCAAAGGAAACTTTTATTTGAAATTGGATTTAAGAAGTTTTACAACAATGTGTATGGAACAAGAAGTCCCACACGAATACATATTTCTGTCCCTTTTACAATGCAGCCCAAAACAGTTGTAGCCTCAAAGCCCCTTGTTTAGCAAGATAATCAGCTAGCCCATTTGAACTCCTTCTAACCCATTTGAATTCTGCTTCTATCTCCCTTGCAACCTTTTCCACTTCCCTTATCACTTGTTTGAAGGTCCACGGAGTAGTTCTATTGTTATTAGCCCAAGAGATGATCACCTTGGAATCCCCTTCAACCTCAATTTGCCTCATTCCTAGTTGCTTGGCTATCTTCAATCCTTGTAGCAATGCCATTACCTCAGCTTTTAGAGGGTTGCCCATGCCAATAGGTCCAAAGAATAATGCTAATGTCCTCCCTGTACTTGAATCAATGCACTCTCTTCCGATGCCCGTTTTAGCCTAACTGGAAATGCTTGCACAATACCGGGAAAAAAAACAGATAAGAAATTCTAATTGCTCCTTACAGAAGCTTCTCACCTCACAAGTATTCCAGGGTTTTTCTTGTTGTCATCCTTCTAGAAGAAGAATCAATTATCTAATATTACTTGATCTTTTTTGTCAATGTAGAAATAATATGATACAATGCCAACCATTTGGAAGGAAGAATTAATTATCTAATATTTGGATCTTTTGAGACAAAACAAGCAAGCTTTCAGATGTTGTGTGGATGCTGGAACTAAAACAGCTTTAATCTGTCTCACCTATGGGTGTTTTGGATTAGAGACAAATTCAAGTCCCATAGAACTTCTCAACTGGGCTTTCAGATTTTTGGTTTTGAAACATAATTAATACAGCACAAATTTTATTTTGTCTGAGTTGGGTCAACTACAAGAGACATATCCAACTGGATGAGCAACTAACCATGCTTGAATCAGTAATAAATGGAAAGTAGAACCTTCTTAGGCCCCGTTCACTTTTCGGTAAGTTACTTACCTGGGTAAATGTAATTACCTGGGTAAGTTTTTCCTGGGAAGCACTTACCCGGGTAAGTGCATACCCATGTTCTTTTATTTCTCAGGTAAATAAGGCAATGCTCATTTTAGCCATAAAAATCAATTATAAAAAGGGGCATTCTTGTCTCATTCAAGTGTTGGCAACTTTCCCCCTATGTGAGAAAGTTATTCACCCACTTAGGAGATGGTTATCACTTACCCGGGTAAGTGATATCCAGGAAAATAAACTTTCCCTGCTCCCCACACAAATCTGAAAAAAGAACATGGGATTCTTGGTCAATGGGAACCAAATCCCATTAACCAACTTTCCCCCCTCTCAAAATCCAAAAAAAGAATGCCCCCTTATTGTTTTAGCATCTTCTGTATGCACCATGACTTGAAGTGGAATGAACTACAAATGCATAATTGTTACAATACAAGTCTATAGAGCATGTTGAAAATTTACTTTACCTTTTTCAAAATAAATAAATAAGAAGTCTATAGAGGCTGTTGAAAATCAATATGACTGCAACTATGTGACCACCATTTATTCCTGCATGTGCCTTTACGGGGATCAATCATTCTTTTACTTTCCATTTACCAGGTGTAAAACCTACGGGTAGGATGGCAGTTGATCATCCATCTGCTCCACCAAATCCATCAGCTGAATCACCAGACCTAGAGGAACACCTGGAAATAGTTAGTGATGATGAGGATGGCAGCACAACACCAAACAAAGGGAATGCTGCTGAACGACTTGCCAAAACTAGACTAGGCATCAATCAGAATGACACAGATGATGAGATCGCAAATGTGGATGTCAGTGATGATGAGGCAGATAAAGGCCCTAATGCCGCAGAAGCCCTGAGGGCCCAGGTGAATGCCGAAGAAAGAGATGAACAGACTTCAAGTTCAAGCGAAAGCAGCAGGAGTGGTAGCAGTGGGAGCAGTGGGAGCAGTAGTGGAAGTGGAAGCAGTAGCAGTGACAGTGAAGCCAGCGACGATTCAGTCAGCTCTATCTGACATATCCATGGTAGGAAGGTGGGGGGTTTACTTAAAAGACCCCAAATAACCATGGTTACCCTGGTTTGCAGAAATGCCGTGCCCCAGAACGATTGGCCCTTCAACTTCAAGTGAGTTTGCAGATTTGGCAGGGGAAAACATACAAAGCAGGTGAAATATTTTTCCAAGTCGAGTAAAAGTGCTAATCAAGCAAGATTTTTTTTTTTCTCAGGGAGGGTGTTTTACTGATTTTCCCATCCCATGGCTTCAAGAGTTCTTGAGCAGAAAATGCATCTTGTGGGATTAGGTTATGTGTAATTATGTAGAATCTACATTGAGGGTGTAGACACATTTTGTAGAAGTTCATAGACACATAAGAATTCAATTATAAGAGCGAGATAAAATAAAAATTTTGGCTTTTGAGCCACTAAATTTTATTTTAATGATGATCCACAACACTCTACATCAATATGAAGTCGCTGGTAGTTAGTCGAGTCTTTTAATATTAATATATATATATATATATATATATATATATATATATAATATAAATAATTAAATTTTCTGATATTTTTATTTATAAAATTTTAAATAATAATTTATTTATAATTTTTAATAGGAATTTATTTAAAATTAGCCTAGTCAAGCTCGAATAACTCGCGAGTAAAGACTTGACTCGAGTTTACGTGTGAAATTCAAAACTCAATCGAGCTCCAGTGGAAGTTTTGATCTCCAAGTTTTTTAGTTGAGTTCAAGCTCAAACCACCCAAAACTCAACTGGAATCTATTATAGATTTTTATAAGAAAAAATAATTTGTTTTTTTTTTTTATTTTAGGAATTCAAAGAGTATTATAAAGTGATGGGCATTGAAGTTTTCACAATTTTTGGAAGAGCCAAGTATCCCCGTGCTTATAAAATAAAACCAACCACAACATCGTAAAAAACAAAGGATTCGTATAGCAAGCTTCTCACTTGCCCGATTTGGAAACTTCTTTCCCTTGTTGTTAGGGGTGTTTACGGTTCCGTGGGCCTATTTGAAACCGAATCAGTATTACTGGTTTTTGGAAAATCGGTAATTGAAATCGAACAGAAGCCAATCAGTTAATCGGTTTAATTAACAGTCAGTTCAGTTCATTGATTTTTTGGTTTTTTATATTTATAATATATATTATAAATATTTAATAAAAAATTAAAACTATTTATATAATATTATATTTTAAATAATAAATAATATATTATATATTATAAATATATATTTACATATATAATGCATATTTCTTAATTTATAATATATAGAAAATATAAAATATATATAATCTATATAATATACAAAGTATATAGAAATATATGTATATTGGTTGGTTCGATTAATTGTTAGTTTTCTATATTGGTTTATCGAAACTAAACTGGTACCTTTGGTTTTTTAAAAATATCAAATCGAAACTGAAACTGAAACTGACCGATTTTGTTAATCAGATTTTCAATTTGGTTTTGGTCAGTTTTTCGGTTTTTCTTGCTCACCCCTACTTACTGTGTTATATCATATACCGTATCCAAAACCTAAAATACAATCCTAGGTAATTGTACTCGTTTATCCTCTGTAATGTAGAAAACCTTCGGAGAGATTTAGTTATTATTAATTGTTTGGATTTTTTAGGACATACCACCCCTTGTTCTGTGTAAACCCTCTTCCTAAGTTATCAAAAGAAAAAAAAAAACCCTAAAATTTTCATCCTCTATACCTACGATGAACGAGCAAAAACAATTTCTCTCTCTCATTTTCAAAGAAATGCTGGACTAAATTGTAGTTAGAAGACCATTTTAATTTTTGTCATTCAGATTCAGGTGCTGTTAATCCGGTAGCTGACATGGTCTGTGAGGGCTCTCTATAGTAACCAATGAGCCTCATGTGCAACGCTGTAATGTGTAATAAAAATTCCATCATTCAGATTAGAAATTATGATTGGGTTAGTTGAAAACAAAATCGTGGAACTGATATTTTTCAATTTAAAGAAAAAAAAATCATTTGATCGATTTGTTGAAGTAGGTGAATTAGTGGTTTTTTTTTTTTTTTTTTTGTAAAAGGTTGTTGTAGCATGATAATAGAATGTGTTTTTTAATGGGCGCGGGTAGTTAGTCGATGGGTTGATGTGCAATGCAATCTACTGATCGAACATGCGCTCAATCCAACCCAACAACCATTCCCATTGTGGAAGAAAGCTTGGTTCCTTTTTCTCCTCATGAAATCACCTTAACCCAAAACACAATGGGAATAGAAAATGACAAAATATATCTAAGGAAATAGCTTTGGTGCATGGTGTCATGTTCTACTTCTCCTCATTAGCAATTCAAGTTTAATGTTCAAAAAGCTGTATTTGGTAGCTGTTTTTTGACTATGAATGCATGTTGCCAAATTTGAACAATCTTAACTACATCGGGCTGATGTTAGCATTTGGACCCATTGAAAATTTAACTTGTCATGTTCAACTCAGGCTTGAGCCTGAGGTCAAGCCCAATCTATCCAATTCAGGCCCAATCTGCATTGAAATTTGGGCCAGCGATGGAGTCATGTCGGTCATCAATTCACACTAAAATTTCATATAAATGTATGTATATAGTCAAATTGGGCTTAGGTTGGGATAAGGTTGGATTGAACTTGGAGTCAGGTTAAAGCTACCTAAGGACTAGGCCCAAACTTAACCCAAAAATTATAAAGCCAAAACGGCCAAACCTTTGGACCCAGGCCCAGGATCAAAAATCCAAACCGAATTTATATAAAATTGCAGGCTGAGTCGGTCCAGACTTTGGGTTAGGCCTACCCAAATTACAATCTTAAATTTATCAATCCAATATAACACAAGTTGCATCCTTAATTTTGGCTTACGTTCCTATTTAGAATTTCGTGCATATGGGTGATCGAAGAACGATCAAAACAAAAGTTCATTAATTGAACAAGTGTTCATGCATCACTTAGGCCATGTTTGGTTTGAAGGAAAATATAGGGAAAGGAAGGGAAACCTTTACAGGCATTGTATTGGTTTTCCTGTCTTTCCCTTCCTTTTCCTACCTTTTCCTTCAAACCAAACATAGCCTTAGACTAACAAGGTGTTAGTGTTGGTGACATTCTTCCTAAACAGTAAGAGTGCAAATGCAAATGTGCTCGATTCATGAAAATGCAAATATGGTTTTGGTTTTGCATTATGAGAAATTTTTATTCTTAGTAAATATATTTAATGTGGTGGATACAACCATGAATATAAAAACTGGAATATACTTTTTTCAGTTGACCAATTTTGAGAGAGAAAAAAAATTGTATCCATTTTTTGGAAGCAAATTTTGCCCTATTTTGAATGCAAATTTTAAAAAAAAATTACTTTTCAATACATAAATATATTTTTACCAAATACCTACAAAACCGAAGGGAGTGCAAATTCACTTCAATTCAACATCTGCATTCTTACCAAACATTAAGGCCATGTTTGATTTGAAGAAAAAGGTAGAGAAAGGAAGAGAAACACAAGAAAACCAATATAAGGGTTGTAAAGGTTTTCCTACCTTTCCCTTCCTTTCTCTACATTTTCCTTCAAACCAAACATAGCCTAAAAAGACAAATAATCTCTACGAGACTTCTATAGCACACCTCTCTTCATCTTTTTTTTTCCTAAACCAACATACCAAAATTATTTCATTGAGTAGTTGGTTAAGGTTAATTTTATATTAATGCAGGTGAACCACTTCTTTTTTTATGGTCACTAAATGTGACGTAATGGAATTAGGCTTCTTATAAATTTATATATCTTACAAGGTATCAAAAAGTCAAGGTAAGTTGCATTTGGTAAGAAGAGAATGCAAATGGAGAAACCAAGTTTTATAAAACGAAATGTAGAATCGAATCCGATTTGCACTTCAAACCGGGTTTTACTCTTGATGTTCGTGCTTTTTTGCAATCAATTTACACTGAAAATTTGTGAATGCAAAATTGCATCTGCTTTTTCTTTTTTTTTTTTATATATTGAATCACGCACTTTATGCTCCTATAGGGCCGTAATTCATTTTTCTTGAACATAGTATAACATTCTTCAGCAACAATCTAATAAATCTTTCTCCAAAGTTATGAGAATCCATTGTGAGGCTTGAATCCGCATCTCTATTTGAATGGGCCTGGCCCAAAACCCAAACCCGAAGCAGCATAAAATGCGTTTCACCCTTGCTTCCATTTGAACAAACTTGCGTTCACACCACTGTATTCAGTTTTTACACTTTTATCCTTGGCAAAATTCTATTAGAAGTCGGGGGTTTTTTATATATCAACGACATAAGGAAATGTCTTGTCATCAACGCGGTTGATTTGGAATATCATAAATTAATAATTTAATCAATGAATGAATAATTACTGATAAGAACCAATAAATTATTCCAAATCAACCGCGTCCTGAACAGTGCACAGTGTACACTGGTGGAAGTAACGTATATTATTACGCGTTGCCTTTTATTTTCAAATTAAAAAAGGAAAAATCTAAAATTACCCTTATAATTTAGCCAATTGACTATGGGAAAATACAAGATAATCGCTGCTCGGCGCTCGCGGTGAATATCCGCCCGGCCCACATCAATCCCGTTCCGTCATCCGTACCTTCCGTCTCAATTAGGGTGAATTACACGGACCCCTGAACTATGGGGTCAGTGACAGATACTCCCTCCGTTAATTAGCGACAAAAATTCTTATCGTACGTCCTGAATTTTAATTAGCGACAAAAATTTTCTGAACTTTTATCGTTAGTTAAACACCCCTCCGTTAATGTTCCGTTAGTTTATTTCGAAAAAATTCTTATTTGACTGTTTAAAATTTTCTAAATGGTCAAATTAGCCTTGTTTCTAATACTTTTGAAATCTCTGTACATTTCAAAAGGAACCCAGAATCGACCCATCTTCTTCTTCCTCGGTTCACTGCCGATCCTAGTGCTTAATTTATCTCACGAGGAAAAATGAATGAAGTCATGGCCGAAGCTTGTACATCGACCCATGAGCAGCAGCAGATTACAACCAGCACCGCCAACACGGCAACCGGAGGAGCTCCACCTCCTCATCGGAGGCCACGGGTAAGGGAAGTAAGCTTCAGGTTCATGCCTCCGGTGGGTTCTTCTTTGTCATATGGAGATTTCCATCTCCTAGCCTCCAAATGCCCCACTCCTAAACAGAACTAACAGCAGCACTCGCAGTCCGTGCAGAGGTGTCACGCAGGCCCGGACCCATTGTCTTCCGCCGACGAGAACAAGTTCGATATCCACCTAAGCTCTAAAACCCCTCAGTGCTTACAAAGAAAGGTAGTTCTTCCGGTGCAGCAGCGCATACAACGCGCCGTGAAGCTCTTCAAGGAGAACGAATGCAGCAAGGAGCAGCAGCTGCAAGATCCCGAGACCATTCACTCCTTTCAGCGTCAATGGTTCCAGTGCCGGTAACAGCAGTTGGTCTAGTGCCTCAAGAGCTCGAGCCTCGAGGGCAGCCAAAGAGCCGTCAGAGAACAACCCTGTGGAGAGAGAGCTACGATACAGACAATGGATCTGCAACCGCAGAGGGTGACAGAGTTCTGTGAACACCTCATTCAGTCGACATTCGTATGTGCTTGCATTGCTCGTCAGCTGGTTTGGGTTATATATTCCCTTGTTTTAAAGGTGAGGTGACACCTCACTCGATGCTTCTCCCCCTGGAATACCCTATTTCTTCTCTCACGTCGATTGTCGTTACCTTGTTTCACTGTTTTCCTATTTACAAACCAGTACAAATTTTTATTGAATGTATGTTGACATTTCAGGTGAAGGGGGAGAGGGAGGTGGGAACTGGGAAGGAAGCAATCAAAGCAAGCTTTCTCAATTCTCACTTTGAGTACGGAGACTGCTCAGCTGAGTGCTGAACCATTCTAGCTTGAAGGGTTTTAGTGATATATGACAAAAAGTATAGGAAGGGAGATGGAGAAAAAAACTGATATCTCTGAGTCTGAAAACGCAAGTATGCCGGCAGAGAAGTCACAGAGACCACCGACATCATCTACATCGTCACTGCCTTTAGCCCCCCAGATATCATAAGAACTTGTGGCTGTGGTGAACGGATAGTTAGATTAAAGGTATTTTTGGGCCAGCTATGTTTTAAGAGAGAATGGTAAAAAAAAAGAAAATTCAAAAAATCCAGTGGGGTATTTTGGTAATTTAATGATTTTCCATTTCTGACTTAACGTTCAAAGGGCATTTGTCGCAATGTAAAAGTTCAGGAGGTCTTTATCGTAAAAAAAGGGCAGGGTCTTTGTCTTTGTCAGACCCAAGGGGTCTGTGCAAGTTACCCATTTATATTTTTATTAAAAAAAACGTGCATTTAATATTTAGGTTTATACGAAATGACGAACAAGCGACAAAATCAAAAAGTATTTTTTCCATTTCCAACTTCCGACTTCCGACTTCTTCCCCTGTGTTGTGTTCTCATCTTCTCATCCAACAGAAACAAAGACAGAGAAAGAATCCAGCTTGAAATTCCCACGATATCAAATCTCATTGTATCAGCATTTCCAAACCCTAACCCTACCCCTATTCCTCCCTGTCTATTTCCACCATTACTGGATCAAGGAGCTTCAGACAGTGATCCCTGCGGTTTATTTATTTATTTGTTTATTTTTGTCTCGGTTCGTTAGTAATGGTGTTCTTTGTATGGCTACACTGCAAAACCTAGGAAGAAACGCGAGAGAGATCAGGAGATCTGGGAATTGGCCGATTCGTGCCAACTGGAGATGCGATTTTTGGAACTAATTCTAGCCTCATTTCGATGCCCCTGCAGCAAATCGGACCTCCATGGCAGCAGCTGAGAAGAAATGGCTTCTTGCTCTCTTCTCTGCCGCTTTCGTTTCTTTTCTATTTTTGCTCTCTGCGATTTCCAGTTTCAGTGGATCGCCACCTTTTAGCTTGTATTCGCCTTTCGCCTCTTCAGTTCGATATGGTGCTTCTTACCCGCCGGCTTTCTCGTATTACATCTCTGGAGGGAGAGGGCATAAAGACCGAATCTTGCGGTTGCTGCTGGCCGTCTACCACCCTCGGAACCGATACCTTCTCCATCTAGGGACGGATGCTTCCTACAGGGAGCGGCGGCAGCTTGCGGTTGCTGTCCGGGCCGTCCCGGCTATCCAAGCTTTTGGGAATGTTGATGTTTTAGGGAAGCCAGATGCTGCTACATATATGGGGTCTTCCAACGTTGCTGCTACGCTTCGTGCTGCTGCAATTCTTTTGAAGGTTGATAGTGGTTGGGATTGGTTCATCACTTTGAGTGTTGCGGATTACCCGCTGCTTACTCAGGACGGTATGCTACTATTTTCTCCGTTAATAGTTATAGTCCGCTTACTGATCTTATTTCGAGATTGATTGATTTCTCACTGTTCTTTTAAATGATACTTGATTTTCTTGAGAACTGGGTTACGTCTTTTTCCTTCAATCTTAGTTTAGATTGTATTTTATTGATCAAGCCTAAGATATCTAACTTAAGGAAGTTTGAATGATGCCATCTTCTGCATACCTTTGAAGATCAATATGGAATTTGGCTTCCCCTATCTGTACTTTGGTTTTAGTTCTCGAGGCCAAGTTTACGATTCATTGACAAGCTTATCTCCATTGGGGGATCAGGGCAGTGGTATCTGGTTGATTCATTTGAGATCATTTTTATTGTTATTACCATGTTCGGTGTTGAAAGCCATAGGCAGAACTGCAGAAGTGACTGGTAATGCGTATTAAAGGCTTTAGGAGGATGGGAGGCCAAAAAGGATGTGAATGATAGTAGTGAGGAGGTACTTTGAGTTTGAGTCATACATTGTGACATTAGCCATATTATAAGGAATCTAATTGTGATCCATTCTATAAACTTGAAAGTGAAGTTCGCTTTCGTATTGGATGCAGGACAGAGGTAAACTATCTTGCCCTCTTATAGTTAGAGAAGGATGTCATCCATTCTATAAACTTGAAAGTGAAGTTCGCTTTCTTATTGGATGCAGGACGGAGGTAAACTATCTTTTCCTCTTATAGTTAGAGAAGGAAATCTTTATTAATGCATTTTGGTTCTTCTGTTGAGGATATGACATATAAAAGTGTTTACCCTAGTTCGTTGCTTGCAGTAAGTAGTACCAGAGCTGTCAAAGATTGTGATTGAAGATTGGAAATTAAATGGGGAAAATTTTTCAAAGTAGAATGGGTTTCTATGCTCAACTTGTGCTACATAGCCAAGGCTTCAGGTTACAACTTCATTTTATTGGTTAAAAGGGTTGGGCTTGGATTTAGGACTTAGGTAAACTGGAACCAAACCTCAAGCACAGCACCACTTATCCAAGGTCATAATATGCTTGGCTTTAGATCTCAAATTATGTTACCTGGTAAAAATGCTAATTCGACTGGCTTCAACCAAGTATAATGGGTTGCATTATCAGACCTTGGTTTGGACTTAAGCTTCAGCATTGAAGTGTTTGATTTAGATATTAGAGTATCAATTTTCAGAATGAAATGGCATGACTTTGAGAGTCAGTGTGTCATAACCAAAGGGGAGCTATCAAATAGGAAAATACTGGTTGGTTTTCAGGTTGGCTCTTCTCTTTAGTTGGAACTTGGAAGGTTCGGACTTAGATTGGTTTTCAGGCCAGCCAAGTTGCATCATTTTTATGATGGATAGCCTAGTTGCATCCTTGTATCAGTATTTTATGATAATATATCCAACTCAGCTAGTTGGATCATTTAGAGAAGTTGAATGACTTTGAAATCTTCTACATAGGAACTTGTTTCTCAGCCTGAAGGAGGCCACCTTTCCATCCTTTTATGCCATTAACTATCATGGCTACAAGTCTACCTAGTCTATCTTAAGGCTGCAATTTTCTCTGTCAAGCTCTCTTGTTGTTCAAGGTAGTTGCCAGATTCTATAGAAATAAATTAGAGTACCAACCTAAATTCTAAAGTCCATCATCTTCAAGCCCATTATATACTTCAATTGTAAATTCTGAAAACTCTGCCTACCGATTTTATGAAATCCTGAAATTTCAGGAAAGATTCTGAAATTTCATCTGAAACAAACACACCTGAAATTTTCAGGATTTTCTTAGAATTCTTCCAGAATATTAAACCATGGTACTTCTTGTATCTTGTGAGCTCTCATTTATCTTTACCAATGTTATGACATGGGAATCTAATGACATCTGGATAATTTTCATTGTTCCTTTTAATTGCATTTGCTCATTTCAAAGTTTATATGCTCATATTTCCCAATGGTATGCTTAACCACTTAAGCATTTTGTTTTCTTCTTTCAGATTTGTTCCATGTATTCTCTACCGTTAGGAGGGACCTCAATTTCATTGATCACACTAGTGATCTTGGGTGGAAAGAGTATGTGTACCCTCTTTTCTAATTCTTGATACTTATTTTGGCTATCTTCTTTGATAATGTTGGTATTTACAGCTCATGTTTTCTCAGGTACCAGAGGGTTCAGCCAATTGTGGTGGACCCAGGAATTTACTTGGCCCGGAGGGGAAATAAAATTTTTCATGCTTCAGAAAAGCGGCCAACACCTGAAACTTTTAGATTTTTTACAGGTATGTGCTACTTGACATTTGCTTTAAACATTTGTGAAGTATATCGATTAAAAAAATTATGAAGGTGTATTTTTTTCATGGTGATATATCTGCCTTTCTCATCCAACAGGATCCCCGTGGGTTATTCTGAGCCGACCATTCCTAGAATTCTGTGTTTTTGGTTGGGATAACCTTCCCCGGTCACTTCTTATGTATTTTACAAATGTAGCTTTATCCGAAGAAGGCTATTTTCATTCTGTCATTTGCAATTCACCAGAATTCCAGAATACCACTGTTAATAGTGACCTGAGATTCATGATCTGGGACAACCCTCCCAAGATGGAACCCCACTTCCTCAACACTTCCGATTTTGACTTGATGGTGCAGAGTGGAGCTGCTTTTGCAAGACAGTTTCAAAAAGATGATCCAGTGCTGGACATGGTTGATGAAAAGATCCTTATGCGTGGGCATAGACGCCCTGCCCCTGGTGCATGGTGCACCGGCAAGAGGAGCTGGTGGACAGATCCATGCTCAAAATGGGGTGATGTCAATATTGTGAGGCCTGGCCCTCAAGCAAGGAAGTTTGCAGAGACAATGGCAAGCCATCTTGATGATTGGAATTCACATTTGAGTCGGTGCAAGTAATGCCAAGTAAACAAGAGATTGACACCATCAGCACCAAGTACCATTGCCTCTGCATCTTTGCGTGTTGGTTTAAAAGACCACAAGCAGTTGAGGCTTTACACACACACACACACCATTTTTTTGGGTGGTGCTTCCATCCCATAGGTTAGTTAACCGGGGGTAGGGGTTAAGGTAAATGTGTGATTCTTTTGGGATTTTCAGGCTGGAGGGGCTGAGTTTTCTTGTGAATGTTAGTTAACGAAGTGATTGACTTGTGTAATTTTGTTAAAGAGCCGCCAACAGTCTTTCAATCAATAAAAGGGATCTCCCTGTTCCTTGTGTATGGTGAGTGGATTCTTCAGTCTTCCTATTCTGTATCATGTTCTTCATCTGATGGGTATGCTCGAACAGGGTTACAGGGATCAGATTTGAGATGCAGTTTGGTGAGGTCAATAAAACATTTTAAGGTACATGATCTTGATTCTTACGTATGGATATGGCATATTATAATTGAAAGCTATATTTTAGATGGCAACAGTGAGAGTGGGGACCTTCGATTGGGGCCAGTCAATCAGGTGCTAACTGCCGAGTGCTGACTTAGCTCCATTGTGCTTTTGGATCTTATCATTTTTGAGCCATTATCTCCAGTAGGTAGAACGTATTCCAGATAAAAAAAAAATATATCATCAATCCATTCAATCCTTGGCCGATGAATTGGGTTGGAACTTGGAAGGTATTGATCCTTCACCTTGGATGCTCATGGTAGACAGGTTTTACTCCGCAAAAATGATTCATGGACTCTTCCGACACTGGATTATTGAGAGTGCTTTACATGGTTTTCGAAACTGGACCAGACTGGATGGTCGGACTGGAAAATTGGGAACCGGTCAGGTGACCAGTTCCGTTTTACCCCAGAACCGTTATTTTGTCAAAAACTGTTGACTTGGTCAGCAAATCACTGACCCAGGCAGTCAAATCATTCAAACCATCTGTTTGGCTGTTTTTTATTTTTTTTATTTTTTTACTTTTTTTGTCAGAATGGGCCATCCATTTGATTTAAACAGTTGAACCGTTTGACCCGGGAACCAAATCCCCGACCGGTTCACTGTCCGATTTGGTTTTGAAAACCTTAGTGCTTTTATATAACTGTAACACATTTTCCTTTTCATCACCGTTTACTTCACATAAATCATAAATTAACGACAAATACACAAGATGAATGCTATTGTCTTTACAGAGTTTAATATAAGACCATTTTTTATGCGTATATACTACATATCATAATTTGTAGCCAAATATCAACTGTTTCAAAAACTTTCAATTATATATACATTTTTCTCTATACACTGTATCCGTGTACCTTAATCCTTAGAGAATTTGATTTCTGGTGATGCACTGTCCAATTACTTTCTGGATCAAACAGCTTCTGAGCTGCGGAATACTTGGCAATTCTAATTGTTGATTTGCCTGGTTCTAGCTGATACCTTGGAGTCTTGGAGATGTTTGCCAATTGCCGTTCTTCCCAGAGATCTTTAGGTAGCCATAATCAAGCATAGGATATAGATGATTTTACATTCAAATTTCCATCCATTTTTTCATGTTGGGTTGCGTTGATTATTTGGTGATAGTGATACACCAGAGCAAAGAAAGGTTATCAAAATATTGGAGATGGAGAACTTCGATATGAAACCAGAGTTCAGGATTTTAACGGACTAATTGGCAGCAAATTAAACCTTTGATCAATCCAATATGATTATAAATCCCGTAAAACCCAGTTTCAATCAGTTCAAACTATGAGATTAATTCGACTAAAATTAACCATATTAATTCAATATCTACGGACAATTCACCACATCTTATATTGAAGAATGTAAGAGATGGATCTTTGTCATATTGCAAGTTTTTGGTGCATATTAGCTGTTCGCTTACCATTTTACCTCTGTAAATTTCTCTTTGAGGTTAACCTGTCACCTTACAAAGTACAATGAAGCAACAGCATTGTTAAAATTGCAAGAAACTGATCTCTTCATTAAATAGGTTTCAGATTTTGCCAATGGAAAAACATCAGCAAAGATGGCAATGGTAAGACGATTGGGACAATGTAGCAGAATAAAGATATATCCCCTCATCTAAATGTGAGATGCCCTTATCCAAAGGACCAGTTATTGGGACCTCTGAAGGTTACATCTTCCAGAGGTGATAATAATACAGGCGGTCAGGGTGGAGCTGTTCCATCTCTCATACAGGAGCAGGTGATTCCTTTTCTTGCTCATTACCCCTTTCCTCATCATTTCCTTGGCCTCCACTGAACCCATTCTGTAGAATCTTGTTTTCTGATGGTAAATTCTTTCTGGCTTTTCTACTCCCTTCAATTTTCCATAGATCCCACACTTTAGTTTTGGGTGGAGGCGATGAATCTGCAATTGGTGCAATCAACCCTGGCTTGCCATCATCAATAACTGCATCCACTAACCCATATTCCTTTGCCACCCAAGGGTTCATGAAGTTGTCACGGTCAGTATCCACTTCAATCTGCAAGTACGAGAATGAGAAAATATTAAGTAACAAAGGAATTCAACATAAACTAGTAAATCAGGTAATGAAACAAACAATAGTAGACGGATAAAAGGGTATTATTGGACAATAAACCTGCTCCTCGGGCTTCCCTGTGATTCTTGACAGTATCTTGTTCAGCTTAATTTTGTGGTACATCATTTCCCTTATTTGCAGTCCCATCTCTGTTGCCTGGAACCACATAATCCTTGAGCAAGTTTATGGAAGTCTTACAAAAGAAGCTAATAAGTATATGTAAACCATTAGTGGTGAAAAAAAACAAATGGAAGACCAATTTCCACCAAGAGGCAAGAAAAAGAACACAATCAAGCTCCAGCTAAATATCATCACTAAAGTTTGCCTTCCCAACTGAAGTTAAAGTGCATCTAAATCACAAATAGAAACCAATTTACATGGTTATGCTCATCGCTTTAAAAGGCTTAAGCCTTGAGGCATGAGGCTTATGCCTCGAGGTGAGGCTCACAAATTTTGCCTCAAGGCTAAAGCTTCACAACTTTGATGCGAGTCTTAAGCCTTTGTCAGGATGAGGCGTAAGCCTCAAGCCTCCAGGAGTGAGGCATACCTTGAGGCGCAAAAAGGCGTAAGCCTCAAGTATTAGTATTTATTTAGCGATTTAATGCAATATATATATATATATATATATTTGATGCATTTTTTTAGTTCAAAATATATGGAAGAAGCACTTCAATAATTATGAGTCAAGTACATAAATAGTAAAAAATGAAAAACCAATTGGAGAAATCAAGTTATATTATTTTCTCTTGGTGTTTTAGGAGAGTTCAATGCAAAACAGGCCAATCAAGTTCTTGGTTTCTCTTGGATATATCAAGTGATTTTTCTTATTATTCTAATTCTAACATCCTAGGTTTATTATTTTTCTCATTTCTTTTCCTAATGGATTTATTTTCTTTTTATTGATTATTTTTTTTGCATAGACCAAATTAACTACTAAGTTATATTCTTTCTTCTAAACTATTGAATGACCATAAATCTAATATCCAATTAAATGGATGATTCTTCATATATTTCCTTTCTTCCAAATTGCTCATTTGAATTATTTGAGAACTTTACATTTTTAAACATGAAATGTAAAATGTTTATAATTGTTAGTCGATTCCTTATTAGTTTATTTAATGTATCCATTGAAACTTATTGCTTATAAACTTTTGTTTCATAGATATTTATACCTTCTATCATTCTAATTTATTAGTATATTATATGATATTTTCATCAATTTATAAACTTTAATTAATTTTATTCTTAAGCTTCGAGGCTTACACCTCACCTTTTTGGGCCATTACGCCTCAACTACACCATAGTCTTTTAAAACCTTGGATGCCAGATGGCTCACTTTGGTAAGATCTCTGGCTCACATTGTAGTAGAGACTTGGGAACGAACCCTGCCTTAACCCAGTGTTTTAAAAGCACAAGGCGCAAAAAAAGCACAAGGGCCAATTTGCGCCTGAGGCACAAGGCGAGGCACACGCCTTTTTAAGAAAGGCACAAAATTACTAAAAAAAGGCTAAAAATTAAAAAAAAAAGTCAGAAAATTCAAAAAAATGCCCAATTTCTAAAAAAAATCAAAAAATATTAAACATAATGTTAATAAAAAATATAAACTTAAATTTTAAAATAAATGAATTAAAAAACCTATTATTTAAAATTAAAATACATAAACATAACATGTAAAGTATATTCAAATGAAAATTTAAAAATAAAAGCTAACATATAAAGCATTTTCAAGAATGTAAAACCCACAATCTCTTTTTTTCCTTAATTGCATTGCTTCAAGTAGTTAATGTGATGTAAAACAAATTGCATTCTTGATTCTATGAGTCGCCTTTGTACCACGCCCCTCGAGGGTTTGAAATTCTTATTTTTCACATAAAAAATAATGATTTTATAACTTTTATTGCCTTTTAAGAAGATATTTTATTGCAATGAATGAATGAACAACATTGCCTCGAGAGGCGTGGTCAGGGATCCAGGGGCGGAGCCCCTGGCCCAACCATTAGACTCAAAAAAAAGCAAAAACGAAAAATTTTAAGAAGGCGTAAAAGGGGTGCACCTTGGACCTGGGCAAGGCGCATACCCCAAAATGTGCCTCGCCTGTGCGCTTAGGCGTGCCTTTTAAATCACTGCCTTCACCAAGGTTGGGAGATCATGGGATGGGCTACCCTTTGTTGTGTAGCCCCATGGAGAGAGAGAGAGAGAGTTGGGATTCTACCCAACTCAGACTCTTCTTTGAGGGAGAGTTCCTCCTACAAAATGGGAGTTTGATAGTATGAGAAACAAAGATTTTTCTTGTTATTCCAAGTAATCTCTTACAATCCTTTTATACTTTTTTTATTACATTGTAACACATTTGCAACAGCTTCTTGCATCCTTAGTTAAGTTCTTGGTTCTGGATCTTCTTCGTTTGTTGGTGGCTGCTGACGTTACCTCTTTTTTCTTTTCCTGAAATAGGTGTTTACCACCAGCTTGGGTTGGCTCCCTGAAGAAGTCCCTAACAAAGAGAGAGAGAGAGAGAGAGAGAGAGAGAGAGAGAGAGAGAGAGAGAGAGATTTCTTCATAAAATGCTTCTATCTTTGAACTTATTTGTCAAACTCTGTAGATATATAATCATTCATTGTCCAAGCAGCTCCTTAAGTAATAAGGACCATTCAATTTAACATGGTCCTTTAAGTCATCCTTCTCTGTATATAGCACGACTCATGTACCATAGATTTACTAACAAGACTTAAAAATGAATAATATATATATTCAAAATTACCCACGGGATGACAAGAAAGGAGTTTGAAATGAATGCATAGATTCATGCATGCCAAAGAGGCACTTTGAGGGGATGGCAACAGGTGGCAGATGCTCCTCTTACAATCATAGTAGAGGAATGAACTCCACTCGCAGCATACTTTTGGAAGCTAAACATTGGCGATTGTAGCATAACCCAAGACCTTCAGAAATTGGGAAGGTCATAAAAAATACTAATGGGCACTTCATGGCAATCTATTCAGGCCCAATAGGAGGCTCTACCACAGCAGAATTGAGAGCCCTACTCCATGGACTACAGCCTTGCAAGAGACTGGGATTAAGCAGAACTGTGGTTGAAGGAGACTCCTGCACTGTAATAGGTTGGCTTAAGAACATGGTTTCAAATGTCGCAAAATGTCGCTAAAGTCGCCCGACATATGTCAATGTCGAGGCTCACCAACATGAAAATGGATGGTAATATAAAAATTACATTATTTCGGTCAACATTTCCTATATTTCGGAAATGTCGACCAAATCGGTCCAAATAACAAAAAAATGACAGTTTTTCCTATTATGTCGACAAGATGTTGACTAATGTACATTAAAAATATAATATATTATTATATTATATTATTATAATACAATATATTAATATAAATTATTCCATTAATAATTTCTATTTAACATTTCAAATAAAATATTTATAAAAAAGGAATAACAAAATATAAAGACAAAAGAATAAATAAAATACTTTATAATATAAAACACAAAATATTTTTCAAGTAATAAAATATTAACTAGTTAGTATTTTTAAAATATTTGTTAAAATCAGAAAATGTTTATTAAATTTTATAATAAATCATATTCTACATTCAATATAAAAAATCAGAATAAATTTATTACATTTTATACTAAATCAAAATTTATTATAAGTTTAGTATTAAAAATCATAATAAATCCATTAAGTTTTATAAGAAATCAGGATTTATCAAAATCTTAATACTATAAAAAGGAGAATTAGTTTATTAAATTTATAATAAACCATAATGTATTATAACTTTAATATTTAAAAAATCAGAATAAATGTATTTCTATTTACTAGTGTGAAATAAATATATTAGAATTTATAATAAATCAGAATTAAAAATAAGAAAAGAAAATATCAGATAACCTTGTAAAAACATCAAAATGCATAATAAATTAGTAAATCATCATTTACTAATTTGTTATTGATCTTAGTTTCTTAGCTTTATATAATGTTGGGAATAAGATAATAGTCTAGAAATATGTATTAATGCTTCTTTTATCATTTTACTAAATATCATTGCATATTTCCACATATTCATAATATTTCCACGATGTCTCTAATTTTTACAATATTTCCCCTCAACATTTCCGACATATGTCCTATATTTTGGTAAGCGACATTTCCATCGACATCGACATTTTAAACCTTGCTTAAGAAGGAGGCTCAAGGAACATGACAGCAGTGACATAATGAGAGGGAAGCTAAACAGTTGGCTAGAGAGTTGGTGTGGAGTGAAACTGGACCAACAGAACAGCTAATAATGTAGCGAAGTTACTTGCAAGACAAGGAATCAATAGGGAAGCTTTGTATTTTTTTTTATCAGTAAAAAGAAATTTCATTAATGAAAAAAGAAATTACAGGGGTTACAATATATGAGTAGCCTCAGCTACCCCACTACAATGTAATGTATCCACTATTAAATTGATTTTTCACTCTTACAGTTGAGCCTAGAAGAAGTGATCCCTGTTCACCCCTTGTTTGGCTAGCTGGTCTGCAAATCCATTTGCTGCTCTATGGGTCCACTGAATTGAAAGCTGCATGTCCTTGGATAGATTTTTAATCTTCTTGATGTCATTTCTGAATATCCAGGGTGTGCTGTCATGTTGTTTTAGTCAACTGATGATAACTTTGGAATCCCCTTCCACAACCAGCCTTTCCACCCCCATCTGCTTAGCTTTTTGTATCCCATATACCATTGCCTTCAGTTCAGCTATAGTGGAATTTCCAATTCCAATGGGACCCGAATACAGTCCCAACACATTTCCACTTTCATTTCTTATAACCCCTCCAATTCCAGATCTTCCTGGGTTTCCAAAACTGCTGCCATCAAAGTTTAATTTGATAAAACCTGGTTCAGGGGGCACCCACTCCTTCAAGACCTGCTTTTTTGCCGAGGAAGAGATGGCAATTGTCCTCCAATTCCTAATCATGTCATCCACTGTAAAATTTGAAAATAAATTCAGTGTTTTCACCCATGAGATCACCTTCATCATAATACTTTCTATCAGTTCTGCCTTGCATATTTCCTTATCTTCAAATATTCTCCGATTTCTTTTCTCCCATAGCACTACTGCCCTTGTGCATCTCCACAGTATTCTCCCTCTTCGCTTTG